GTGTAAAAACCTGAATTGAACTGCTTACTTTAGAACACTAACCCCATTTTTTTTTCTCTAGAGCCGAAAGCAGTTTATCAGCGAGCTTGTCGTCTGATTTTTTTCTCTTTTGTTTGAACATCTTGTGTCTTCGGAGCAACTCCTCCTATCCTAAAAATCTTGTACGGACGATAGTCAAAGTACAGTCGTCTTCCTCAAAATTATTTAGTATGCTTTCTTTTTTTGAACTTTACGTCAGATCTAGAGTGGTTTTTGTATTCCGGAAATTAAAAGAAGTTAAAAGAGACTCTGTTGCATATTGATGACCGCCAAGAAAACCACTGAAACACTTTTGATAAATGAATACTGCGGTTCACCTAAATGATTTTATGCCTGCTTTACCAAATGAGCAAATGAAACTTAAAGGCTAAATCATTTGCTCATACGTGTCCTGCTCTCGTTGGGGATTGGTGAAGACAACTAAAATTTGCCGCCAGGAACTGTAGCTGATAACGCATGCGTTGCAAGGAAATGGTGATTTTTTTCATTAGTTTTGTTTCTCGTGTGATTCCCAGTCACAAAAAGTAAGTAAAATCATTTTTTTTACGATAGGGTCCCTTTTAAAGCCTCTCGTTCTTTCAGTGTAATAAAGGTTTCCCTTATCTAAAATACAGCAAAGATATATACATTCCAGGTTCCTCCGACAAGGTTATACTTATTTTTTTATGTGCAATAATAAGCGAACTGTAATTCCAGAGTGAAAAAACATTGAACGTAATGTTTCCGACCTTTGTTTCAGACTACTTTGGCTGAAATGTTCTTATAATCACTGGAAGTTTCATTCCCGGACGCCTTCACCTGCGTCTGTTTCTGGTGAACTTGCTGAGTCGCTTGTTTTTTTTTTTGTATCCTTGTCTGGGTAGCGATTGGTTAACGATTTCAGATACTTGGAAACAGATTTTTTTATCGCTTGTGAGCGTTCCTGAAAGGCAAAACAGTCACATTACAAACTGTACTCTTTTTTTTTTAAAAAAGGACAAACATGGCTCATTCGGAGATCATGCTCAAGTCTCGAGAGTTTTTTTAAGACTTAGCCAAGGTTTCAAGTGTCAATTCGGTCAGTGGCCGAATAAGACCTCCTTACTTTCGGAAAGTAATATAGGGAGATGGGTCACGGACCTCGTAGACATCCACACCACAACCGAAAGTTTCTCAGCTCAAGATTGTCTCAGCCAACATAATAATAGGTCAGCAACTATTTTTTTAACCTCATTAACAACGTTTGCTTGCACCGGGATCGGCTTGCAATAACAAGAACTTTTTTTGCAAATACAGGAGAAGTCATATGTGAAACTCTACAAAACAAGATAATAGAAAATTTTTTTATGAATTTATTAAGCGATAAACATATACTTCTACAACGTATAATATCCTTTAATTTTTTTCTATTTGGATACATTTGATGCCGGTCATCATTGTACGGAGTGAGTGTGAAACCCATTCGTAATTTCAGCCACATCAACAGTTTTGTCCTTCAGAGTTAAGAGGAAATAATTGCAGGAGAAAGTAGTCATGATGTGATATGAAAAATTGAATACATACATGTC